ATAATAATAATAATAATAATAAGTTAATTACTATCGAATACCGTTGGTATAATAAAATTAATAATTATACACTTCCGTAGTTTAATTTTGTGTAATATTATTAAATATCGATTAAGTAATTGATGGTACTATAATATTATGTTCAATTGAACATCATTAGTCCTGTGGGGCGTTAGGAGCAAATTCATATTGTGAACCGTATAATTGTATAGAATTATTATAATTTTATACGAATCTTTAAATTTATCGCAAATACTGTTATTTGAATATTATTTTAAAGAGCGATATTTCAAATTTTAGAAACATTAGCCTTCATTTAAAGGTACAAATCGAGAAATTTTCTTAAAACCTTAGAACGTTAGCGTAGTACAAGGAGTTAAAAAGTATAGATATCTCTTCTGACCACGTAGGTTTCTCTAATAATCATTTTAGATTCTGAGTGGAGCGAGTAACGTATTGGTTTTACAGTGATGTTTATTATTTTTTTTTTTTTTTTTACGTGAACACTTTTTCTACCAGAAAGCTTACCCCGATTATCAAGTATAGCACTTTTTCTGAAAGTAAATGTTCTCTTAGTGGTACTTCAAAGAGGTCATTTTTTGATATTCTCATTAATATTCGAGATAATGAGCAAAACCTGATTCTTTATGTTAAGAAAGATTGAAAGATTAAAAAGAAACGGTTGTCATTGGTAACGGTTTTTATTTTTTATTTTTTGTTAATATTAAGTTGTTACTTATTAAATTTTTTTTTAAACAATTACTGTTGTAATGGAAACGCACATTGTCGTAATCATTTTATCATAACATGTCATAATAATATACATTGTTGACAGAGAAACACTATGAACTGAACTCCGCTCAAAATCGTTTTTTCGTCGGTATATCGTTGCTTACAGATATACATTAAATTCGCGTTTTTATCCTACTTTCCCGATTTCCCACCAATACAACAGTGGCTGCACCTACATGCGAAGCATGTCCGTTATTTTTTTTACTGCGTACGAAAATTCTACCGGAAATCTGCTCCGACGTATCAAGTATAACGGTTTTTGTATTTGTATATTATCGAAAAAATAAAACCGAAATCGCATAGTGAATGTTGTCTTTTTTCCTTGATGAACATTTGATTTTTTAATAAAGTCCATAACCCGAATATTTTTTTAATGATTAAACGTAAAATTACACATAATATTCGATCGATTGTTACGTTGCCCACACGTAGTCCTTACCAATTATGACGAATCGTAATAAGAAATTGAATACGAATAATAGGTATCGTATTGTGTATTCTATACGGCATATGTAAATATTATAATACTCGGGTCTAAGTCATAAGCGTAGTCGTTTTCCGTAATATCGATTTGAACATTTGTTTATTTTATTTTTCTAAACTGCTGTATAATATTGTAATATTAGATTTTTTTTTTCTTTTTTGTAACGCCAAGTTTGGATTTTTCGTTTTTTTTTTTTCACGATACATAACACGTCGATTGCGGGCAATACATATTAAAATAATTATTTTAAGTGCGCACCTATAATTTCGGACTTGTCGCATAATTTCTACGCAATAAACGTTTCGCCTTGGGTTTAACGGGTCGGTGTATAATGCGTATGAATATACGGAATAGGCGAACGCGTTTCGCCAAATCGTTTTGGCCGTTTTTAGACAAACCATTACTATATCGTCAATTTCGTTGATATCCGTAAGTATAGATAATAACGACAGTAATCTTCTGTTTCGTTTAAATTTATTAACTCGGCTAAGGACGAGGTAATTGACGGTGTCGCGGGCCGTGGCCGTGAAAACAATACGTATGCGTATGAGTTACGAATTGCGGTTTACGAACAATTATTATTGTGCGTACGTACTTGCGCGAAAAAAAAAAAAAAGGAATTTTTTGTTTGTTTTTTGTTCCGCGCATAACATTACGGCTATTTCGCGTAACCGGCCTTTCGGTGAGTTTTTAACACACGATATTCGTAAATCGTCCGCCGGTACGGCGGTTGTTTTCATCGCATTACAATATTTTTAAATCCCGGATTATTTATACTGCGTGCGCATGTCCGTTTGTAGCGCCGCCGTACGCGCGTTTGATCGTTATAATATTATTATCGCCGAGTCCGGTGTACGAGTTTATAACAGTATATAATATGTTACGGGAAATAAAAGCTCGACCGATCATTAAAAAAAAAAAAAAAATAAATAAATATTATAATCGGATTTCCGTCTCTGTGTGTCCGCCGATTACGCGTTGTTTCGCAATAATAAAACGAACAAAAAAACGACGTTAATAATGACGAATAACGACGATTGGCGGACGCGGGTCGACGGCACACTTGCGGCGCGTCATATTTTGCCGTGGCCCGCGTCGCGATACGGCCCGAAACGCATAAATTCGAGCGCGCGTCACCGCGGGGCAGGGGTATAGGGGCTGTGGGTCCGTAATCCGTATAATCGTTATAAACTCGTATCGAATATTAAAATCCGCGGGAAAATATCGTATCGCACCCGCGCGTTTTGTGCCGCGACGGTTATTTACAAAACGTTAACGACCGAACCGCGGGCACGTACGTTCGTGTAACGCGGTTCACGGCGCAATAATGTCGTCGTAATTATTATAACCGGGTTATACGGCCCGTTTTGATAGCGCGAAAACCCTCGCGATACTGTCGAATTCAAACTGACCGGCGGTGGTGAGGGGTGGGTGTGGGGGGGGGTGGGGCTCCGAGTCTCCCATCCGTCCCCTCCGCCGTCCCGTAACGATGTTTCAAACGGAATCCGATGATTTATAATTTAGAAAGAAAATAGAGTTCGAATTAGGTTATCGCTTGTACCGACCTGCAGTGTGTATAAGTATATTATGGCGTGCGTTTTTTTTGTTTTTTTTTTGTTTTACAAAAAAAGGTTGCCCAGCCTAACCTTTTTTTTTTTTTTACGGTGTAAACAATTTTTTCATCAGAAATTCAGCAACGGTTATCGACTTTTGGAGTGATGGTGGTTGGAAATGTCTAATCGGCGATATGAAACGGTCGGTTTTTTTTTCCTTTTTTGTTATTCAATAAAAAATATTCTTAGAAACCGGAAATTTCTCATGGAATAATTACACTTTCTTGTGAAATATAGGTTTTTTCGGATGTTATTACATTTTCAAAATCCATTCTGGATATTTGAAATTGTCGAGTATTTTGAGGTTTTTATTTGGATTTGTGTGATACACTCGTTTAAGGTACAAACAGTAGGGCCAGTAGGAGTAGACAATTTGAAAACATCGTTAAAATAAAGCTTAAACGATTCCGCGAAACGGAAACAAATAAACGGAAATGAAATTCGATTAAAATCCCATTGTAGAAAATCGTCGGTTCGTGATGTATGGTCACAGGTACAGACCACGCAGTACGATCGAAAACGAAAACTGAGCAAAACTTGACCGTTCGCGAGCGGATATCGAAATATGACCAGTTTATTCGCGAGCAACAAGTGTGTTAACATAGTATTTATTTTACGACAAAGGTAGGCAGGTACCTAACAATTTATATTCGAACCATGGGTTTAAATTTCCATTGAAACGACGGGCGAGTCTTCGGCGAAACAACAATGATCGTTTTCCGATATTTCGCAGTCTACCTACCTACGCTCTCATGTAGTAATAGTAGTACGGTGAAATTAATATTTGCTCATACACGAGTAGTATCGAGTACCAGGTGGGACGTCATGATACACCGTCCGTACAATGGTTTTTTTTTATTTTTATTATTATTTTCGTTATTATTATTTATTTATTATTATTTTTTTTATTTTTTTTTTTTAGCGTTTAGTACAAAGAAACGATTGACGATAATCAATAAACTATAAAACATATTGTAGATTAAATTTTCAAGTTTTTTTTTTTTTTTGAAAAATATCAACGCGTAAAACGCTAATCCGAGGATCGATATCGTCGGGAACAGATAGAGAGAGAGAGACGTGTAAAAAATCTACACCGTGTTGTCTACGGCGGTGTTGACATGGTTGCGGTTCGTGAAAACGCACTCGGCAACGGATTATCCCTGTGAGCCGTTTTTAAATGATATTATCGTCCGTACCGCGCGCGTGTACGTCGGTACCCCTCGTCCGCCAATACACAATCGTATAAACAATCAATAATCTTCGCGTGTTTTCTCGCGCGGCTACGCGGTAGGTACCCAATGACGTACAAGTCAAAAGTTCGCACGATACCTTAACCGCGGTAGCATTATGGTTATTATTGTTTTCCGTGTCCCCTTGCCGGGAGAGGTCAACCCCTAGCGTGACGTGCGGCGGCAAAGACCGCGTTGATCGTTCCGTTATGCAAATTTCCCGGGCGAACAAACAATCGTATTTGAAAAAAAAAAAAAAAAAAAAAAAGGTGTCGCGTCGTATATTTACATAATATAAATCGCGCGTTTAAATCAATAGCCGGCGTTCGTGTCGTCTCATTAAGCGGAAAAGCCCGGACGGATATATTTATTTTTTTTTTCTCTCACGATTTCGACGTGTGCGTCGGATTTTTACCGGTACGGCGTTTCCGGATCGTCCTCGCCGGCCGGCCGGAGGACCTCCCGTCGTCGTCGGGGGACGAACGCAAAATTTTCTAGACAATTTCACCCCGGCGGCGGCATACAAACCGGATACGTTTAACGTCTCTACGTAGGTACGAAGTACTCGTCGTGTGCGACGCGATTGTCGGCACGGTTTGTTTTTCGATAATAACAATTATTATTATTATTATTATTATTGTTATTATTATAATACCGACGACGTTGCGATATTGTGCGGCCGACGCAGCTGTCACACAGTCACACACACACGGTGACGTTCTACGATACGCGAAATCAGCATAGCATTTGAATGCGCGTGTGCGTAACGCGTCTGCCGACGGCGTTTGCGTCTGGTCGCTCCATCAATCTACCGCGGCGGCGATTAATAAGACAAAGGGTGCGCGTCGCACAGAGATAAGCGATTATGTTTTATTACGACCGATGTCTGAAAAAGAAAAAAAAAAAAAAACCAATAATAAAACTACAGAAAAAAACAAAAAATGCTCATGCGCAGACGAGACGCCAAAACCTGCCTACCTGCTGGCCCGTATACAATAACACGAACGCGGGCGGGGCGACGCCACTGTTGTTTTATTATTTATTTATTTATTTATTTAATATTTTTTTTTTTTTTTTTTTTTTAACGTCTTTTTCTGGAGCCTGTCTGCCCCGAACGCGTAGCGCAGGCTTTGTTCAGGTGAACCATTAACGATGTCAATAGAGCACACAAACGCACACGCATTACACGAGAAAACGATACGATTACAAGAATAAGGCGCGTATGGGGGAAAAAAAAAAAAATCGGGCCACGTGCAAACCGTTGACCTCGCCACCGGTTACGTGCGTACAATATAACGCAATAAAACGCATTATATTTTATAAACCCTTCAACAGGTAAACGTGAAGAAAAAAAAAAAAGAAAAAAAACAAACGAAATCGACGTTTTTAAATTAATGTGTACAAATTACGTTTCTCTTATGGTTATAGTTAATATTGTATAGGTAGTTATTGATCACCGTGCTTCGAGTGCGTCTTATCGAAACTCTTACTGATATAGGTATACATTATGTATACATTTGACGAAACGAAAAAAGAAAAGTATGTTCGCGGCGCGAAGAGACGCTAAAAAGGTATATCGTATACCTACATAATTTTTTTTTTTTTTTATATCCTCTGTTCTATTTCGGGTTTTAATTTTTACGACGCTATAAAACTGTACACAGGGTGATTCTTTTATCGCCGACACTCGCATTACTTCAAAATGTGTTAACATTTTTCAAAACGGTTCTTTTTGACAATAATCATAAAAAAAAAAAAAAAAGAACAAACAAAACCACAACCCACTTTTGAAAATAACAACCTATAATGCAAATTCCATAAATATAATAGTATGTTTTAGTTTCACTCCATTTTGGTGTTGATATTTACTTAAACTTATCTTCCGTTTATTTATGGAATTTCGAATGTGGGTTGATATCGATCGAAAACTAATGTTCATATAATGATATAACATCCTAGAGACATTAAGAAACAAGCTTCTTAAATTTTGAAAAAAAAAAAAATATTTTTTTGAAATAATGAGTGCTCAACGGTAAAAGAAACGCCCTGTATAATGATAATGATGACACCCTTATGGCAACGTGTAGATTCAACATGTATTTTCGATTAAAGTGTTCGTTTATGAACACGAACTATATAGAAACAAAAAAAAAAAACCGATATACTTAACACGTGGGTGGGCCACTGTTGTAGGTGAGAAGTAGGTACGCAACGATTAAGCGTTGCTAACGGAAAACGATTTTGATCAGAGTTCGATTAATAGCGTGTATACAATATGTCACATTACGGTAAAATAATTACATAATGCAATATATTTTTTTCAATAATATTTTCCCCCGGTTTTACCATATTTTTCCTATTTATCGGTCAAAATATGACCTCCGTAAAGGTGCCGACCCAATCAGATTTGCTTTTAGAAAAAGTGCTATCAAATGAAAATTCTCTCGCGTTTTCCTGCGTGTATATTCCGACGTGTCTTATTATATTGTTCATTGATTATTTTTCCGGTTAAAACCGGTAGCATAATTAAACCAAACGACAGAATATTAAAAGTTCCGTTAAAATTGTTATAATAAACACATTTTTCGTCTTAATAAGAATTTATATCAAATCTCAATAATATATTTGGTTTTAACGATGTCATTAAGATGAAAAAAAAAGAAAAAAAAGGGGGGGGCGATAAACGGATAAAACCCCCATAGCCCTCCGTGTCCGCGACCCCGGTCCAAACCGCGCATTATCCATAAACTTGAAATCTCGCTCGTTTGCCGAGCGAGTGATTTTGAAAACTCGACCCTTGGATGACGGGCCGACACAGGATTTTCGGTGTTTTCGGGACGTGTATTGATTTTGTTTTGTTTTTTTTTTTTTGTTTTTCGGGGTTACATCGGCAACACGGATTGGAAAAAAACCAAAAAGAAGAAGTCGTTTGTCGTCGATTCGGCGGTCGTCGCTAACGGGTCTAACGGTCTTTACGGGGAAAAAAAAACTAAAACTAAAATACCGGGCAACAGAAATCAACCGCGACCGGGACGCCGGCCCGGCGGGTAATCCGGCCGGTTCGACGCGAGTACGCCCTGACGGACGCCCGACTCCCGGCGTGAAACCGTACGCGTTCGCCGATCCGCCTCGCGGCGGTCGCAACGCGCGGCGCGCACGTACGGCTCGGGACATTATTGTTCGTTGCTCGCGAAACGCGTCAACGGCAGTTGAACGGCACCCGCGCGGTTACAACGCGTTACGCTCGGTGTAACTGTCGCGCGGTTCGCGGTGTACGTGTACGCGTATCCGCACGTATTGTTGTTGCGCGCGGGCGTTAATCGACGAGCGAACAACGTCGGGAGACCATCGCGCGCGCGCGCGCGCGGGACGGTTAGGTCAGGTGTCCCGCGGCCGTCCGCGAGAGCACGGCCGCAATCGAATTCCAGGGGTCGTCGTGTACCGCGTACGTGTGCGCCCGGCAATTGGCCGTCAACAAAGTCAATTGGGCGCCGCCGAAAACGGACGGGCGCACTTGCGCGCACTCAACGCGAGCGGCGGCGGCGGCGGCGGCGGGGGGACCGTTATTATTTTGACTTGCGAATGTTCGGAAACCGATCGACCGCGCGGGCCGACGGCGCCGTCGAGTGTCCGAGAGCCGTAAAACGATTCGCGTCGGAAACGCCGGCCGGCGGCGACGCGCTCGCCGGACCGCGTGTAACGTACGCCGCGCGGATCCGGAGGGTTTCGTCCGCGGTTTTCGTTTTTTCGCGTATTGCGGCCCGGTGTACCGCGGCCGGCCCCCCAAACCCCATCGCCCCCCCCCCCCCCGCCGCGAAATCCGCGGTTTCCGACGGCTCGCAATGTTCTGTTCGACGAAAACGCATTGTAATGTATCGCTATCGTTGTTATTATTATTATTATTACTATCGGTTATTACCGTCATTGTAGCCGCTTGTTGGACGGGTCGTGTAGTGAAGAAAAAAAAAAACGTTTAAACGTGCGACACGAGAATAATAATCGACGTTTTCGCTGTCACGCGTACGTATTGTTACGGTGCCCGGTAATTATGGCGACGACGGCCGTCCCGTCGGTTGAGACGGTAGCGTAACGCGCGGTATTTTTCCCAGTGGATATTTGCCGGGTGATGTCCGTTTTTTTTTTGTTCTTTTAAATTAACTTAACTCAAAGAATCGAAATAGTTACTCTTATCAATTGCCGCAGGAAAACCCGAATCCGACAATCAGTATAAATAACCAACTTTGTTTATAAACATAACTTAAATAATATTAAGAACGGCAAACTTTGTTCTTATAGATACTATGTTATATCTAAAAAAAATATGTACGCATTTTGTTCCTTTATCGGTTGTATCAACATACGGAATATCTTCTGTCGTACGCCGAAAATTAGTAACATTATTAACAAAATCTAAAAGTTCATCAAGACCAAGAATATTTTCAATCAAGTCAGCTTCTATCATTTTCAGACATTTTCATAAATTAGACACTGAACGCCCAGTGGGTGAACTGTTTCTTTCTGGGTGTCCGACTAGTGTTCTAGACAGAGTGTCCATTTGGACACAAGAAACATACTT